TCCAGGGATGGGGCAGCCATGGGAATTCCATCCCAGCCCCCCACCACCCTCACAGGGAAGAATTTCTCCATGACATCCCACCTAACCCTGCCCTCTGGCAGTGGGAAGCCATTCCTCCAGCAGAAACCTCTGGTCAGCACCAACCCCTTGGGAACACGTCCCAGCCAGCCCCAGTGCCAGGCCAACCCACCCGGTGCCGGCGAGGGAGCCGTCGGTGTGGAAGGCGATGTCATAGACCCCCTTGCTGTGCCCCTCCTGGTGCAGGATCTCCTCCTGGGCCTCCAGGTCCCACAGGCGCCACGAGTGGTCGTAGCTGCAGAAACGAGGCAGTTGTCAGATAAATCAGGGAGTCATTCAGGTTGGAAAAGCCCTCCAAGATCATCAAGTCCCACCATTCCCCCAGCATTGCCGTGTTCACCACCAACCCACATCCCCAGCTGCCACATCTCCATGGTTTTGGAGCACTTCCAGTGGTGACTCCCCCACTGCCCTGGGTAGTTTGTGCCAGGGCTGGACAACTCTTTCCCTGAAGAAATTTTCCCCAATATCCAATCTAAACCTCCCCTGGCACAACTCGAGGCCGTTCCCTCTGGACTCCATGTATGTCCAAGAAGAATAAAGGATATTTCACTAATTCTGGGGGCATTTGATTTCCAGCTGGGCACCAACAGTGTCTCACACAGGGGCAGGGAGAGGAACCCCCGTGACCTGCTGTTACTGACACCACCACAAGCCCAGCTGTGGTCAGGAATGGCCAAGCCCTGCCTGTGCCAGGCTCTGCTGTGGGCGAGCCCTGGCACCACTGGGCCACCAGAGGGGCAGCCCATGGTCATGCTGGAAGCAAATCCCCAAGAGTCCGTACCAGGTGGTGCCCAGGAACCTCCCCGACGGGTGCCACATCACACGGGCCACTCTCATGCTGTGTCCTTCGATGTCTGCCATGGGCTCATCACTGAAACACACACAACAACCCCTGGGGCACTGGCCACAGGTGCCAGGCCTTTGCAAGCACATTGTGAGGCAAAAAAAGGTGTGCTGATCAAATCAAGCCAGACATGAACATCAGAGGCGTAAAAAGTCTGTATCTGCCTTTGGGTCCCACTCCTAAAGCTCTGAGTGGAACTCCTTATCCACTCCTGTTGGTTATAAAGCTCTCCTGGGACAATGACGGTGATTATTGTTCCTGAAAATTAACAATCCCCTTGTCAATAGCACTCTGAAAGTGCAGAAACAAACCAGAGACTACCTGAACTGCTGGGAGTTTGCTGAGAACACACAGAACATCCCAAACTGCAGTTAACTTTCTTTCCACTGGTTAATTAAGAGACGTGGTCACATGAGGCCAATGACCCCCCTGTCCCTTTGCACAGGGCACTTCTGCTGTTAGAAATGGTGATTTTTCAGCCAAGGATAAACAACTGGGAATGTGGGAGCTGCCTGTCCTTCCTGGGTGCTCTGCAGGTGATGCTGGGGCTCAGTACCTCCACCAGTCTCCTCCTCACAGCCTGAGAGAGATGCTGCCCATCTGCCAGGACTACACTGTGCAGGGACAGCCTCTGCCCTTGAGCACAGGCTGAAGCTTTTGTTCCTGGCTGCCTTTTTGGTCGGTCCCTCTCCAAATCCTGGTGCTCTCCAATCACTCCAAAGTTCATTTCTTAATATCCTGAATGAAAGGTCAGAACGAAACCATCCCCAAGCCTTCCATCCACCCCCCCACAGCAGTTCACCAAGGCCCAGCAGCAATTCTGACTCCACTCCTTTCAATCTCCCTCGCCCTGACTCCCTAAGCAGGGTGATCTCTCTTCCCAGGGAAGAGGGTGGCACATATTGAGGCACTGGGATGGCTACAAGAGGTCACATTTGCAGGAGGATGGTCGGTGTCTGATGTTTAGGAACACAGATAAACCCCAGGCACAGCTGTGCCTGTCTGGAATGGTTCTGACCTTTCCAGGTTCCAGAGTTTGACAGAGCCATCAGCAGCACACGAGGCCAGGCTGACGTCCTTCTTGTCCAGGGACACGGTGGCTTTGGGGTGGAACACAACTGCTCCCACGTTGGTGCTGTGTCCTGAAGGCAAAGGGAAACCAAAATTCAGAATCTGCCCCGTGATCTTGGCCAGTTCTTCAGAAAAGCAGCATTTCCTTGCTACTGAGGAGTCAGGAGTCAGTGAACGCTTTCCCTGTGTCCTCAGGGCCCTGAAACCCCCAGTCACACCTGCCCTGCCAGCAGCTAAACTGCACTCCCAGGAACCCCATGCCAGAGCATAAAACTGAGGTTTGTAACACTCCAAGGGCAGTGAAAATCCAACATATGAATCAGGAGATTTGTGCTCACGTTTGTATTTAGCCCAAGTTGGGGCCACTGCCCAAAGGACCTCACTGCTGTCAAGTGACCTGCCCAAAACTGCTGGTGTTCTTAACTCAGAAATCAAACCCAGGTTTTGAAACCAAACAAGGGACTGTTCAGCATCAGAAGCAGCAAACTCAGGGCTGAGATCTGAGCTAAAGGCCAGATCCTCCTCCTGATTATCTGACACATTCCCAGGCTCCCAAGCCCCAGTGATGCTCTCAGTAGGAAACAAATCTGCCAAAATCAGATATTTTGAGTCACAAAGTGATTCAGGTGTGGGAGCTCAGCCCAGAGAGGAACAAAAGCCCCAAGCCAAGAGCCCCAGGGAGGGCTGCTCGTACCTCGCAAGGTGTGAACCAGGTTGCAGTCGGGCACAGACCAGAGCTTGCACAGCCCACTCCTGTGGAACACAAGGAATGGATGTCAAGGAACAGACCAAACAGAGCTGCAAAGCCACCCTGGGGGTTCTGCAGTGACTGAAACAGCAACACACTTTGGGCAACCAGCACAGAAACCAACAGGCTCAGACTGAAATCTCTGCTCAGCTCTAAAATGAAGTGACAAGAGCTCAGAAGAGGAAACGAAAACATTTCTGGGCTCTCACAATTCCCAAGCCTCCAAGAACATCCCCGTCCTTCTCTGCTGTGCTCACCCAGCCCCTAAAGCAGTGCTGCCACAGAGATCTCACCAGCAGGCCGTGGCCAGGAGCTTGGAGTTGGGGCTGAAGTGGCAGTAGGACAGCGGGCGATCGTCCCCGATCTGGCTGCAGAAGTTATTGAGGGACTGTAAGAATACAAATACAGCAATCAGTGACTGGAGCACAGCCAGCCCAGAGCAAGGCCCAGCCAAAGCCAGAGGTGATGGAGCCAAACATGTGCAGGAGGAGGCAGAGGCCCCTGGAAAGTCTCTGTCCAAGGGAGGAGCTGCCTCGGAGCCACTGCAGCTCCAAGTGGGGGGGCCAGGGCCAGCCTGGCCTGGGGGAGCCAGCACGGCCTGGGGGCTCAGCCCAGCTCCCCAGGGCCACCCACGGTACCTGTCCCCACAGCCCCACAGCTCTGCAGCTGCAGCCCTGACACTGAACTGCCTGGAGTTTGGCCTCTTTCCACAGCTTGTCCAAGAAATCCAACCAGACAGATGGACAGGCAGTGCAGGGCACGGAGGGGAGAAGCAAATCCTCTGGCAGCTGATGGCTCTGGAGTAAACAGGATTAGGGGGGCAGCACATGCTGTGCCTGAGCCTCTGCTTGGTTAAGCCGGGAATCTGGCTTAGTGTGCTCGGAAAGGGCACCCCGGAGCCATCCTGAGCTGGGTGTGATCTCCAGGGTCTTATGTCCCTTCCCAGCCAGCCAAACCCAGCCAAAGCCAGGAGGACATTCCTTTAGCTTCACAGCCACATGGCAAGGCAAGGCAGGGACATCTCTGATCCCTCTGCCACGCACAGGGACAAAATCCATCTCCCTGGCTCACCGTGCGGGAGTCAGAGCGTGCTTTACACGGACAGGGAGAGGGGAAAGCGGAGCCTCCCGACAGTTCAGAGCCCAGGGTGCACCTGGGACAGCACCTGGGGCAGCTCAAGCCCTGCTGAGCTCTCTGGAGGATCACAGCAGGGGGGCAGTGCCGACCTACCCGCAGGGATTTGTGCAGCTCCTGCCTCTGGGATGTCCTGGTGGCCTCGGGGATCTCCTTGAGCAGCCGGGCCTCCTCCAGCCGCTTCGCTGCCCTGGGAACAGCAGGGGGAGGGATGAGCCCCTTCCCTGCTTCCCCCTTCCCTGCCCTCCTCCTCCTCCTCCCCCAAACTGGGCTAATGCTGGATCAGTCCCTGAGAGCTGAAGCTCTGGGCTCTCTGGACTCGCTTCCCAGTGTGTGCTCCCCACTCCTTGGCTTTCCCGTGCTACCCACAGTGGGATCAGCACCTGGAGCTGACAAATGGTTGCATCTCCCTCCTCATTTGTGCAGTTCCCTCTCACCTGGGCAGGGAGTAGTTTGCCAGCCACAGCCTGGCTGTTTTCAGGCTCCGTGGGCCCTCGTGGTACCAGGTTTGCTGATACTGTAAAAACAGGAATAAAAGGGATGGCAAAGCTCCTCCACTCATTGCCCTCAGCTGCCTCCTCACAGCACCTGCTCCCAAACCCTGCTGGCCTCTGGCCTCTTTTTAAGGCCATAAAGCGTCAGCACAAGCCCCAGAAAAAGGGATTAAGAGAGATAAACCACAGTCTCTGTCCGATGGATCCGATCCTGACACGCTGCCACTTCAGTCAGGATCATTCCAGCTGAGCACTTGACTGGGCTGGATTTACTGACACATAACTCCTGTTTTACACATCAGCCAGTACAGAGAGAGCCCAGAGCTGCAGGAATTATTTCTTAAAGCACAGCTCAAAAATAGTAAGGAAAAAATGGACTCAGAAGAGAGACAGAAAGAAGAATCAGAGGCAGAAACAGATGCAGCAGTAGGAACATATTTTTTCCTCCCAAGTGTGAAGACAACCAAGAATAAAGAACTTGCTATGGTGAGTGAAAGCCCAAACAGCTCCTCTCCTGGTTTGCACACTGAGTGCAGCTCAGAACTTGGCCTGTGAGTACAAACCACACTTGGTGCTCCTCACTGAGACCAAACATTGCCACAGGTCTGCTAAAAGGGAGAACATAGGAAAAGCCTGAAGGGATGACATGAGAATCCACACACTGACCAAAACCAGGAGGCCTGGATCTACCAGAGACCTGGATATACCATCTCTCCCTCAGCTCTGAGAGGACAGGAGACCCCCTCACCTCTTCTTTGGACTTTTTTGACCTGTCATCATCCTTCCTGGTCTTCTTTAACGCGTCTGTGCCAACCACTGAGAGGATGTTTCTCAACCTGGGAAGCAACACAAGAAGTTGGATTTAGTCAGTGATTCCTCAGCTCACCTGACAAATCATCAGTGAGACCTTCCTTCTGCCTTGGGGTTCTCAGAACAGAGTAACAGACTGGTTTGGGTTGGAAGGGATCTTAAAGCTCATCCCATTCACCCCCTGCCATGGGCAGGGACACCTTCCACCATCCCAGGTTGCTCCAACCTGGCCTTGGACATTTCCAGGGATGGGGCAGCCACAGCTTCTCTGGGCAACCTGTGCCAGGGCCTGCCCACCCTCCTAGGGAAGAATTCCTTCCCAATACTCAATATCCCATCTATCCCTGCCCTCTGGCAGTGGGAAGCCATTCCCCCTCGTGCTGTTTAAAGTCCCTCTCCAGCTCTCTTGGAGCCCCTTCAGGCACTGGAAGGGGTCTCCCTGGAGCCTTCTCCTGCCCGGGGTGAACACCCTCAGCTCTCCCAGGAAAACACCAGGAATGTGGCAGCCACGGAGTCCCCCCCCCTCCAGCAGACACAGCACCTCTCCCTGCGCTCTGCAGGCCCCTCTCCAAAGAGGGTGATGGGCTCTCCCAGGGCCCTCAGGCAGGCCTTGACCTCGGCGTCGTCCGTGGACACGTTGATCTGCCGCGCGCGCTTCCGCCGCTCGAACTCCGCCAGCACCTCGGCCTGCCGCTCGCTCAGGTGGTCCTCCAGGTCAAACACCTCCCCTGGCACGCAGGAAACACTGCTGGGAACGGGGGGGACAGTGGGGAGGCACCAGGGATCAGGGGGAACACCAGGGAGCACAGGATAACAATCACAGGGGAGCCATCAGGGAGCACACGGGGGGACACCAAGTAGCAGATGGGGGACACCAGGGAGAACAGGGAAGCACCAGGATGCACAAGGAGACACCAGGGAGCACAGGGAAAATATCAGGGATCAGGGGAGACACCAGGGAGCACAGGGGAGACATAGGGGAATACAGGATCACAGAATCACTGGATCACAGGGTCACTGGATCACAGGATCACAGAGTCACTGGATCACAGATGTTTCTGGTTGGAAGGGCCCTCTGGAGCCCACACAGCCCAACCCTCCTGCCCAGGCAGGGTCACCCCGAGCAGGTGACACAGGAACACATCCAGGTGGGTTTGGGATGTCTCCAGAGAGGGAGGGACACTCCACACCTCCCTGGGCAGCTGCTCCAGGGCTCTGGCACGTGGGGAGGTCCAAGGTGCCCATCCTGTCCCTGCTCTGAGGTGGTGCCCACACCAACAGGAGGGATAACAACAGGCATTTGGAAACGTCACGAAGGGAATAAAACAAAGGGTGTTTCCATCCTCACCACTGCTGATGTTGATGTTCCCAGCCTCCAGGGCAGCCTTCATGCCCTCCTTGCCCAGCAGCCCGGTCTCCCCCTTGGCCAGTCTCTCCCTCTCCTTCTCCTCCAGGCTCCCATAGAAGATCGGGGCTCTCTTGGCAGGGGGGGCATCGCTCTCCTCGGCGGGCTTGGCCTTGGGAGGCTGCAGGGACAGGAACAATGTGGGGACAAAGGGACAGCAAACAGCCTGGCTGTGCCAGGGAAAATGGGGTGTGAAACACGGAGGGGCCCTGGAATAGGTTTTCATGGAATCACACACTGGGTTGGGCTGAGAGGGAGCTAAGAGTTCATCTCATTCCACCCCTGCCAGGAGCAGGGACACCTCCCACTCGACCAGGTGGCTCCAACACGGCCTTAGACACTTCCAGGGATGGAGCAGCCACCGGACAGGGAGGTTTCTTATGTCCCGAGGGCAAAACTATAATGCCACGTTAAACTGCATCCATCAGGCTGTGCCGTGCCCTCGGGTTTAAAGCTCTGTGGGATTTACTTTTTGGAAAAAGCTTTAGGACACGAGGCTTCTCCTCCTCCCGCTGAGCCCGAGCCCCAGGAAGGCGAGTGAAGCCGAGCAGTGCTCGGCTCCTTCCCCCGCCGAGGGGCGGCACAACCCCCCGGGAAACAGTAAAGGATTCGGGAAAACGCGCCGGAAAACGCGTGAGCGCTCCGGCCCCGGCCTTTTGAACGGCCCCGGCAGCTCCGCGAACCCCGCGCGGGCCCTCCCGCGGTGCCGCCGCCACACGCGGGGAACACACCCACCTCGGGGGGCCGGGCCCCGGCGCGCGCCGCCGGTGCCCGTGCGGCGGCCATGGCGGGAACGGGACCGGGAACAGCAGCGGGAAACGGGAAAAGAACGGGAATGGGATGGGAATGGGACGGGACGCGCTCGGCGCCCCGCACCTCACGAGCACTTCCGGGTCGCGCGGTGCCCGCCGGGAGGTGTGGCGGGGAGCGCCGAGCGCGGGGCACGCCGGGAGGAGCATTGCCTGTTAAGGGCGGGACGCGCGGGGCACGCCGGGAGGTGTGGCGGGGAGAGCAGAGCGCGGGACACGCGAGGCACGCCGGGAGGTGCATTGCCCGCTAAAGGCGGGACGCGCGGGGCACGCCGGGAGGTGTGGCGGGGCGGGACGACACGCGCGGGGCACGCCGGGAGGAGCGGCGGGAACGCTGAGGGCGGGATCGCTCGGGCCGGTCCCGGTGCCCATCCCGGTGCCGCTGTCGCCGGTCGCGATGCTCCGTCGGAAGCCGACGCGGCTGGAGCTGAAGCTGGACGACATCGAGGAGTTCGAGAGCGTGCGGAAGGAGCTGGAGGTGCGCGGGGCCGGGCGCGGCGCTGCCCGGGCGCGCCCCCCCGGCCCTGACCGGCCCGTTCCCCGCAGGGCCGCAGGAAGCAGCGCGACGAGGCCGAGGCGGCGGCGGGCGGGGAGGAGGCGGCGGCGCTGGCGCTGGGCACGGAGCACAAGAGCCGCGAGCAGCTCATCAACGAGCGCATCGGGTACAAACCGCAGCCCAAGGCCGGCGGGCGCGCCGCGCACTTCGGCACCTTCGAGTTCTGAGCGCCTCGCCCTCCCCATTCGGCGCTCTCCCTTTTCGGTTGCCTTGCTTTTTTAAGTCCGGTTAACACACCCATGAACGCCCCTGTTGGCCCAGTGTTTTGTTTTAAATAAACACGTCCTTTTTTATTAAAAAAAAAAAAAAGTCATCATAACAAGCACACGGTTGTTAAATCGTGTTAATTGTGAGACACAGCTGGAAATGGGAACACCTGGAGGTAAAACCCTGCGGGAGGATCCTCGGGGATCGGGTGATTTGCTGATCCCAAAGCAGCCCCTGGGATGTTGCAAGGGAATCTCCAGGCCTGCCCACCGAGAGGAAGGACCTGGGAATTGTCTGACGGGTGTTTTGGGTTGAAGGCAGCGGTGCCACAGCTCTGGATGCTCAGGCTCTGCTTCCAGGTGCTGCTCTGCCCTCTCCTGAGGAGCCAGGAAAGAACCCCCTGTGTCTGTTGGGCATGTCCCAGAGCTGCTTCCCAGTCCCCGTCACAGCTGGGCCCTGAGCAGGGAATGGCTGCACACCTGGATGTTGCACTGGGCACGTGCATATGATGGAATGATATCCCATGTTTTCTGACTAAGCAGTTTTTCCTTTATAGTTCCTCATTCCACCTCTGTGTCACCTCAGCTGCCCTGGTTTGTCACCTTGGGAATGGAGCCCCAGGATCGGGGCTGCTTGGACCAAAGGTCACCAAGTATTTCCTTATGGATGGTGCCATGCAAAGCCCAAAGGGAGGGTGATTTCTTCCAGCACATCCCTGGATTTGCCCCCATCAGTGCCTGGGCTCTGGAAGGTGACACTGTGGGCAGAGCCCCACAGGGGAGGGGTCTGGCACAGAGTGAGGGGACCTGAAGGAACCAAATTATAAAATCTGAGCAGATGGTGGTGTTTAGGAAACTGTTCCCTGCAGGCCTGGGACCTGCACCAGCACTCCCACAGGGAATTTGGGAGCTGTTTTCTACCATCTTCCAGCACAGCTCCAGTTCTGGTCTCCCAGTGTCCCAGGCAGTGCTCTAAACTGGATTTTAGTTACACTCAGTCTTCACGTGTTGTAGGTGCCCCAAGTGTACAGAACTTAAATGTGTGTTTTCCAGCTGGGAAGAGCCACAGCCTGGCCTGGAGCAGAGCTGCCTTTCCTGCCTGACACCACCTGGAATGATCAGGGATTCTCTGCTGTCCTGGCATTCCCAGCAGCGCCCAACTCTGAGAGGGCAACACCTCAAGAGGGTGTTACACCTCCCTGAATCCCTGTCCTGGATTCTTCCCTGTCTAGGGAAGGCAGGTCTGGGAGGCACCAACTCCTCTCTCCATCACCTGCAAAGTGTGACTGGGCTGGAGCAAACAGAAACTCAGCATCAGTTACTTCCCACATTCCCATTCCAGCAGTTCCAGGACAAATTGCTCAGGGTTGGGGTGGCCCAGAGGACTCTGCTCCTCATTCCCATCCCCTGAGCAGGGACACTGGGCCCTGCTGCTCCCTCTGAGGGGGCCACTGAGGATTGTCTCCAAAACACACCCCCCAGCACAGTAAAATGCAATCTAGTTTATTGGTTAATTATATACAGGGGATTCTTGATATTCACAGTAACATCAGACGAGTTACCTCACAAAGAGCGAGAGCAAAACCAGAACTGACAGTCCACTGTAAACAAAACTAGAAATCCTGCTAGGTTTGGTAGGACTGGCTCCAGACAAAAGGCACTGAAAGAAAAACAACAAAAGCCAGCTGAGGGACACAGCTGGATTCTCTGTGCTCCCTCCAGGATGATAATCCAGAGGCACAGCATGGAGACCAAACATCAGGGACACAACAGGCACGAGGCATCACAGCCCAAGGAGGACATCACAGCCCAAGATGATACGTGTGTGTCAACAGGAATTTCCTGTCCCCAAGTCATAACCAGTAGAGCCCTCAGCTCCCTGTGTTACAGGACAACCTTAACGTCAGACAGCACAGGGGCTGGGGCTGCCCCAGAGCAGATCCCACCAAAGGCAGGTCAGGCTTTGCTCAGGCTCTGCCAAAGCACAGGGCTGGGAACACACAGCCAGTGGGATCTGGTGGGACACACGGAGGTTGGGACACAGGGAGGTGACTCCTCTGGATTGTCACACTGACCTAAGGGAAGCACAGCCCGAGCAGGCAGGGACACACGGACTGAGCACGTCCCTTCCCCAGCTGTGAGCCCAGCAGCAGGGAGGGCACAACCACTTCCCCCACACCTTCCCTGGGCATCCCGGGCTCCCCGTGCTCCAGACAGGCTGTGGGAGGCACCTGGGAGACTCCTGCCCAGGTGAGCACTCACTGGGGTCAGTGACAGGAGATTTTTTATTTTAGCTCTTTGGGCACAAAAAGCTGTTAACTCAGCTCCTTTTAATCTCTATTTGCTCTGCCCAGAGAAAGCAGGATGTCCAGATGAACAGCTGGCATCAACCCAGGAGGGCTGGCTTTAGGAGCTGCAATTCCAGTGCTGGCATGGCTTTGCCCTGTAAGGCTCCCAAGCTAAAAAATTAAATTCAGCCTCTGTGCTGCCTGAATTTAAAGGAGTAACAGGGGGGTGATGGCTCTGATGGTTACGAGATTGAAGACATGCAATTCTTGTGTCCACAGACATGCAGGATGTCTGGGGGTGATGTCAGAGCAGACAAAGCTGTGTCCTCTCTGGTGCGAGCAGGGGCAGGAGAGGAGCCCTTGAGGGCAGAGGTTCTCATCTCGGGGGAAACAATTCCAAGGACACAGGTGCTACACGTAGAACGAGGCAGAAAAGCAAACAAGAACAAATTTACACTGGAAGAGCCACAGCCTAATCTCCAAGTCATCCACCTCTGCTCAATCAGAGAATTCAAGTCAGGTCACTTGGACACACGGAGAGGTGGGGAAAGGTGACAGGCCAAGGTTCTGGTTCAGAGAAAGACACAGCAAGAGGTATATGAAGTAATTATTGTCACCACACAAAGCCACTCCTGACCATTCCCTGTGCTCAGCCATCCTGTAATGGCACCAACTCCAGCTCCCTCCGGAGAAACCGATGGGAACAGAGCTGGAATCGTTGGCTCTGAGCTCCTTCAGGGGTCGAGCCCACAGTGCAAACCTTCCACATCATCACCCACATCTCCAGCATTTAACAGCTCCAGTTTTCCCTGACCAACACCTGGATTTCCTCTCAGCTCTCTCAGGGAGGGGAAGGGGCAGTTTTCCAGTCCCATGGAGAGCCATGACTGCTGGGAGGGCACAGCAGAGATGTCCCCGTGACAGCAGACAGGGCACCAGTGGGTTTGCAGCCTCTCACTGACACAACTCCCTTCAAAGGCCAGGCTGGGGAAGCATTTTTCCTGTCTCTCACCAGGAGGTGGCCAGAACTTTTCCATGAAAAGAATTTTGCCTCTTTCACCCAGAAACCAGGAACTTAAGCCTGCTTTTAACTCAGCTCCTTTTATTCTCTATTTGCACTACCCAGAGAAAACAGGATGTCCAAATAAACATCTGGCATCAACCCAGGAGGGCTGACTTTAGGAGGTGCAATTCCAGTGCTGGCGGCAGCAGTCATGGATTTCCTTCCCAAAAGGGTGGAGAGGGTGGGCTCTGTGCTCAGGAGCAGCATCAGCACCACAGAGCCCCCAGGAGCAGGGATGGCCTTGCCCTGAAAGGCTCCTGGGCTAAAAAGCCATTCCAAGGATCCCTTTTCCTCACACAGCTGCTGCCAACGATCACCAGCAGCATCTCCAGAGTTAAAAATGCTCCCTCAGAGGGATTACCTGTTCTCATGGCACACACACCAGTCCTGCTCTGAAAGTGGTGCCTGTTCTCAGTGCCCTTCTCAAATTCCAAATGTTTTCCCTTTCAGCCAGTTATGGGCACAAACTGGGCATCCTGGGGAGGGTGAAGACTCCAGCTTTGCACCACATTCCCTACACCAACCAGCAGCCTAATATCCAAGTGCTGACCCACAGCTGACCCCCCCAAAGCCTGCCCTGGGCTGGCTCTGCCCCTCTCAGAGCCCGTCCTGCCTGTGAGATGTGCAGAGCTCCCAGCACGGGCACAGTGGGATTGGTAAAACAAGAGGAGTCATCTGGCTCAGGAATACTTTTTAACCAGCCCAAGCTGCTCCAAACTGCACCTGAGAAGAGACTGAAGGCTGCTGTAGTCCTGTTTCCCTTCTCCTCTTCCCCAGATCTCTCCTTTACAGGAATGTGGTTGTTTCAACCCTTCAGCTCCATCCAGGAATTCCCTCTCCAGCCATTTTAACTTTAGTGTCATGAAATCGTTACTCAGCTCTTGCCTCATTTACAGAACTAGTTTTAGTAACCCCAAAGTCTAGCTCTGGATCCATCCTGGTGCAGTTCCACATGAAGTACCTGCAGGTTCAATGGTTTATTTAGTTTTTTTTTTTCCCTGTAAATACACAACTTGTCCTGTGTCTGCTCCGTGTCTTTCCATGATTGGGAAGGGAAGGCAGCCAAACTCCAGTGTTCTCGCTGGAGGCTGAGTAAAGCTGCTGGATACATCAGATTGACAACACTCATCATCCTCTGGTGAGCCTGGAGGGCAGGTTCATCCACTCCCTGCAGCACACGGGTCACATCCTCGGGTCAAAGTCCTCCCTTGCCAGGACACACCTGAGTGTCTGATGTGCAGCACCAAATCTTCCTCAGAGGCTGAGTCCTTCTGCAGCAGAAGGTGTCATTGGCCCCAGAAGCCACAATGCCAGGGTGATCCCTCCCCTGGCATTATGTACACAATGAAAAAAAACAAAACAAATTAAAACAGCCATTCACACAGATAGAGCTCTACGGGCAACTTTGAGCTTTTCCTGCTGTTCATCAAACCCTCACTGATGAGCGTTTACAATTTAAAACCAAAACGGTTTTGTTTTCTTTTTTAAAAGAATAATTTCTACATTTCTGTCAGCCAACTAATCTCAATCACAGCATAATCTAAGAATAAAGCAAACCCTGGCCAAGGATGGCTGCCAGGGACTCTCAGGAGCCAGGGGGAGCAGCACAGCCCAGCTCCTCACATCCCTGCAGCCCAGCCAGGAACCTGCGGTGGGTTTTCCTTATCGTGATTCTCTTGCAGCTCAGGAATGATCCAGTCCTTGGGATGGCTGCACTTCCAGGGAGCAGGGGGGTGGAGAGGCCTCTGGGCAGCACCCAGTGTTAATGGCAGTGCTCTGTGATATCCACCACGACTGCCTTTTTCCAGCTGAAGAAGAAGTAGCCGGTGCCAGCTCCCGCTGCCACGGCGATGCAGAGGTACCCGTTGTAGGTCATGAAGATCAGCATGAGGAAGTAGCTGACCACCACCTGGATGATGTGCAGCACAGTCTGCAGGAGGTGGGGGAAGCTCAGCATCTGCTGTCTGGGAACACAAACCCAAACGACCATCAGCAAACAGGAGACAGCTGGGAAATGCACATCATGCACATCCCCAAGGAAAAGCTCGGCTCTGAGGCTGCCAGGGCAGCACAGAGGGCAGGGGATGGCAGAGAAGGTCACAACAGCCTGAAAAGGGACTCCTGCATGAACCTGGAGCTGGGGTTTTCCCCACAGAGCTGCCTGCTGGCAAAGCAAGCGTGGAACTTGCTGGGAGGACTCAACTTTTAATGAGAGACAGACTTTGTCAAGCTTATTTTACCCCCCATTCAATAAGCAGAAGGGGGTTCTGCACAGTAGCTTTGACTACCTGTCCACAGAAGTTTTCAGTATTTCCTGTCAGGATCACTGCCTGTTAACACCCAAACTGTTCCTGGGAACTCCCCAGGTGTGTTCATCACAAAACCCCCAAGCTCATCTGGCTCCTTGCTGCTCCTTTCCCCCTTTTGTGCCCCGTCCTCGAGGGTGGCCAAGCCCAGTGTCCTCCAGTGTCCCAACACTCAATACTGGCTGCAGCAAGTTCCTTCTGTCCCAGTTCCACCTGGAGGGATTTGCTTTAGAGTGCAGTGAAACCCTTACCCAACAGTTTTGTGTGTCTCCATCAGGATGGTGCCGTTGGGGCCCGGCACTGGCATGGAGTTGTAGCGGATGCTCACTTGGGATTTACGGAGCAGACACTCCCGGGCAATCTTAAGGCCTTCATAAAACATGGCCAGGAAGAAGACAGCCACAAAAGCACCAGCCATCTCTGACAAGAGAGGAAACGTCATTGTCTCTGTGCAACAAAACCTGTCACAAGGGTCACTGGGTGGTTGACCAACCACGTTGGGCTGTGCAGGCCCCGGCCGGGCACCGTGTGCATGCACGGGTGGGAAATGGGAATTCCATCCACACAATAACTGGAATTTCACCCAGCAAGTGAAAGCAGCAATCACTTTTGCTAATAAGACCAAATTCTTGAATTATATAACTATCTCCCTTTCGTCCCACAGATGCCACTGAAACCAGACTCAACACAGCACGTCTCTGCATTTTTGGCATAAATAACAATTCCTGAAACGTTAATCCTTAAACACCGACTGCACATGTTTTTGTTTGGACTGGACAAGACAGCGTTACTAACCTCCAGGAGAATTGATTGTAAGTCCAGAAAACAGCAATGGCACATTCTCACAGCTGAAGTGGAAAGTCATGGCCTGCCCAAAACACAAAGAACACCAAGGTGAGCCTGAGCAGCTCATCCCAGATGGAGCTCAGAGCAAGAGTCAGCAACAGGGGTTGTACCACAGCAGGAACTCAGATCAGCTGGTCACCACACAGACATGAAGTAAATCCCCAGTAAATCAGTGTAGCACCCACAAAGGGATAGAGCTGCAGGTTCCAGTTCCAGCGAGCAGCCCTGGGCAGAAGGCACTGTCCCTCCAGGGTACCTCTTACAGGTAAGTGCCTCCTCTTGCTTTTGGAGCTCCTTTCCTCCTCAGCATCAGAAGTGTCAGGGATTGGGGGATGTCTCCATGGAGCTCACCCTTTCCTCCTCATCCTCGCAGGGGTTGGGGTACAAGGCACTTTCCTTTCCCCACCGTGACCCCCTTTGAGCTCACACAAGTGAGGGTTGTACAGCTGAGTCCTCTGGTCCCTGTGCCAGCAGAGTTGCTTCCCTGTGGAATTCCTAATATCCCATGGGAAACAGAGGCCTAAACACAGGTACCACAAGGTGTATCATATGTAAAACAGGACCACAACTTCCCCTGGGAGAAAAGAAGGGCTCCTGAGGCTGCACAGTGAGTGCTGTGGGAAGGGGAGATACCAGTGATCCCCTGGCCAGCTGGAGGTGACATGAACTTCCCATCCAGGTAAATACAGGGCAGTTTGGCATGTCCTGGCCACAGCTGCACACAGTGTTTTCTCATGGAAAGTACTGACCAAGCAACAGGAACTGCTGTTTGAACTCTCCTTAATTAAGGTTATTTGCTGAAGCTCAGAATTCATGATTCATCTCAGCATCTGTGAGGATCAGCAGACATTCATTACCCCCAGAGCAGAAATCACTGTGAAACAGCTTTCAGAGAGCACTTTCATCTCTCCAGTGGATTTAACGTTTTTACATTTAAAACAAAAGCCACACAAACCAAAGAACTGCAGCTGAACCAGAGCCTGTTACTTGGAGCCACTGAGGAATGGGAAGACACACCTTAAATGTGCTCAGCCTGGTAAATAAGATGCTGTGCCTATGCACTGCTTTCCCTGACAGATTTATGTGCCACATTAACGTAAAATCTTGTGTAATTACTCACAGTTTTCATCTGCAGGGCAAGGCAGGGTCCTGTAGCTATTGCCTGAACACCTGTCACTTGTAAAGAAATGACATTTATATGGGAAATAATGGCTCAGAGGATGCCAATACTAAGGTGGGGGATTACAGGAAGAGCTTTACAAGGACAGCAGTGGCAGTGTTGGACTCTGAGTTGCACCTGGGCCAGGCTCACTGAGGGGAGGCTGTTCTAGTCCTCTCTCCTGCTGTGGTGGTTGCAGTGTAAGCAGAAGCAGCAATTCTTGATTCCCTCCTTGGCACAGAGCTGGCAAACTCCAGCTGAAGGTCTGTAAAACATCCTCCCGAGAACCCTCTCATGTGAAATGGGAACGCACACTCTCTCCCCTCCTTTTGAAATTTAACCCTAAACAGACATGTTTGAATAATCTAAAACACTCTAACAGTATTTGGAAAAGGTAGAGAAAGCTGACAGAGTTCCTAGAACTGGTTCCACACGGCCATTTCCATGGAAACCCTGGGCAGGATCTCCACAAAGCCCCAGGGGTGCCAGAACGCACAAGCCTGGACCTGTTGGAATCCAAATCAGCTGGAGCAGCAGGATCCAGGACCTCAGTGCTAACATGGCAAAGAGCCCTGGCAGCACTTTGCTCCCCAAAGTGAGCTCCAAGGTTCAGGAGGGAAAGGGCACAGAGCTGGTGGGGGCAGGTCAGCACAGCCCCTCACCCTGCTGAGCTGCCTGGGGCTCTCCCTGACAGCCTGCAGAGCTCCATCCCTCTGTTCCTGGCAGGAAAATGCTCACTCTGCACTCCTGCCTTTAGCTGGCTGCAGAGCACACCCCAACCTGGCTGCTAGAAAGGTTTTTGCAAGAAAAAAAAAAAACATTTTGCCAAAGGATCTCCAGCCCTGAAATCCATCTCACCTTTCACATCCCCTCACGCCTCACCCCAGGAGAGCCACAGTGGGGTCTGGGTTTTACCTGGGTGGATTCCTGCCTCCCAAAGCTCAGTTTAACCTCCAGTTCTTAAGAGCACAGCCTCTAAAATGACAAGTTACCCTGAAGCACAGACAAGGGAAAGCTCTCTGGTTAGTGCTGACCTCCCCACTCACCATTGCCATCATGTCAGATCCGTGGCCGTGTCCCGAGGGGGCTGTGGAGTGGAGGTGCTCAGGAGGGTGAGTGGCTGACAACATGGAGCTGTTCCTGTGGTGCTCGTGAGACATCTCCATGGCAGGGAGGTTCAGGAAGGCACATAGAAAAGTGGGAGCCTGGAAAACAAAAACAGAACGCTGCTAGGAAAAAAAATGTGGTTTCTCTGCTGCTACTCCAAGAGCCACTGAGAGCTTCTGCCTCTGGAAAACTCCTGGAGCATCCTCATGGTCCTGCTCTGACTGCAGGGAGCACAGAGCAGGACAGTTTAAAGGAGGTGTGTCCCCCTGAGCTTGACATCACTGGATTGCTGCACCATCCTCCACACTCCTGCCAGAAAGGGAGTTAATCTGGTTGAGGTGGCACATGGACACAAGGGCTCACTATAAAGGAACATTTCTTATCTGTAAGAGGTAAAAAACAAAGTCTCTTCTCAATTGCAGTCATGCAGGAGGCAAAAATATCTCAGCCCTCACTTTAAATTGCATATACTAAAGGATCAGATGATGAGATTTCTCTTAATTGACAGTTATGCATTTTCCTGGGGACATGTTTAACACAGCAATTGTGTTAGGGGGTACAAGACCTACTGCCAGGCAAAGGTCTGCAACAGCCACAGGCAATCCGGTGTCATTTCCATGAGCTTCACATTGCCACATCTCCCCTCTAATCACATTAACACAGTGAGAGCAACACTCAAAAGGCTGCCAGTCCAAATCCCTAATCTGGTTACCACAAATCAGGGGTGTCTGGACACACCACCTTCAAGACAAAACCCCCCTCCCGGGCTGGATGTTGGACGTGGCTCCTGCACTGCCTGGGCTGGGACCTGAACAATTCCTGGTGGAAAATGGAAATCACCAGGTAGAAACAGCAACAAGACAGAAAACATCCTGGGAACACCAGTCAGTCCTGGAAGGACAGGATCTGTCAGACTGGACCCTGCCTGGAATACTCTGTGTACCCTCCCACTCCAGTCCAGCACTGAAGTAAAACCAAGTGCAATAAAAACCAAAGAACAGACGCTCTATCAAATGAAAGTTAAAAAAATAATGAGAGGAGACATCCTTCCCTCCAGATAAATCATCAGGAGAGTTTACAAGTGCAGTTTTTCAGTTTTTTAAGCCAAAAGGCAACATGGTGTTTGAACAGGTAGGTATGGCTGTATTGAGATTGGAGAGAGGAAATAAAACCCTGGAAGAGCTTTCTAAACTGAAAATAGCACACAAAACCCCACATGGCAACCAGCTGTGGAGGAGCTGGTTCAGTTTGTGGCCTGGGGATCCTAAAAGGCTTTAAATTTAAGGGAACAGTGAGAGAAATGAAAGATTTGGGGAAGACAAGGAAAAAAAGATAAGTCAGCAGTGCTGGGGATGAACTCATGAGAGGGAATGAATACACTGAAATTAAATAATGCAGGTAAGCACCTGTAAGCAACAACAGGAACACACAGCTCAGGTATGTCCTGTGTCTCTGCAGCTGAGGTTTGTAGCCCATCCCTTATTGCATTAGACAACTCACAATAATCCCTTGGAAAGTAACTTGTATAGAATTAATGGCACTGAGTAAAGCAGAATTAATTCCCTGCCCATATTTCTGCTAAGATTTTTTAGCTCACTTCGCCCCTATCTATGCTTAAATACCGAGACCAGAAAAACATCCACAGGGAGGAAAAAAGAGAGACCAGTGGAAGCAGCAGCTCAGCTGACACAGAAAAGCATCCCCAGGGGATACCTGTGGAATGGACGGTGTGACCTCCACATGGCACAGCTTTGAACATCATCCTGGTCCAGAGCTGAAAGGTTCAGGCTCTAGAACTGCAGCCCCAAAATACAAAGCTTTGGGAAAGGAACCCTCTGCCAAGACACACAAACTTCAAATTGTCTTTTGCATCAGGGAAGGAAGAACAGCCCGAGTGCTTCACCCTCGGGGATCAAAGGTGATTGTGCCGCGAGAGGAAGAACGTCACATAAGAGCTTCCCCCTCCCTGGCCAAAATCTCACAGGACCAGAGAACCATGGAATATCCTGAGCTGGAGGGACCCACAGGGATCATCCAGCCCAGCTCCTGGCCCTGCACAGACACCCCAAACCCTCCTGGAGCTCTGGCAGCCTTGGGGCTGTGCCCACTGCCCTGGGGAGCCTGTTCAGTGCCAACCACCCTCTGGGGGAAGAACCTTTCCCTGAGATCCACCCTGAGCCTGCCCTGACACAGCTCCAGCCATTCCCTCAGGTCACTGGTCCCAGGAGCAGAGATCAGAGCTGCCCCTGTGTCTCCTCCCTCATCTCCTCTCACTTGACAGACCCCCTGCTTTTGCTTTGGATACAACATCCTCACCAGTGACTCCTGTCCAATGATTAGTTATCCAGTTTAGGATTCCACGCTCCTGCCAAACTCCACAGGTTCCAGTGCACTCCACAGAAACCCTGGCTGCTCCCCAGACGAAAAACTGCCTTCATGGCTGGGTTGGGTCCAGCTTCTCACTATTTTCCTTCTCACTAATCATCATTTGTCTGCAGAAAGGGAGAAACGGCGGATGTTTTCAGGATATTTGCTTTGTAGGAACAAAGAACAAGGTCAGATATTCAGGAGGGGCTGCAGTGGCTGGGCAGGTCTTGGTACAGGTCACAGAGAGCTTGGCCCTCACCTGGGCAGCTCTTTCCCACCCTGCTCCCTCAGTGTCCAGCACCAAACCCAGCCCCTGCTGCAGTGACCCAGCACTGAGGGACATTTTATGAGATCCTAAAAGATGGGGGATTAATAGTGCAAGAGGAAATAACCTTGTCTGAGCCACTTCAGCTGTGTTTTGTGTCACTAAAGGCAACCAACACATGGATAAATCTCTGCTTAAAAATAAATCAGTTCCAGGGGACAATCAGTCTCTGATTTACAACTTAGGAGTTCTCTATACCTGTGTCTTGGAGTAAAAACAACATCCAGGGCAGCAACAGGTTAATGGGTGTGTAACATTTCAAGCTGCAAATCTCTATTTGGCTTGCCCAGGCTCCTGAGAGACAAGCTGACAGATGTGGGGCTGAAGCAGGTGCTGGTTCTAACAAAGCTGGCTCCACACCTGAAGGGAAAAAAACCCACCCACACAAGGTTCTATTATTGCAAATTCTTTAAATAGGTTTAGCCTTGTACAGGCCCAGCCCTTCAGCAGGTATTTCTGTCTGAATGGGTCACTTGATCCCTGGCTGCTGCCTGTTCCCTGTGTTTGCACAGGGAGGAAGAGGCACTGGGGTGGATCCCTGAGCGTGCCCTGGAGGGGGGATCTGCCACAACCCGTGGCTGCAGCTGGCTCAGGTATTCCAGAGGGCCTGCACACCTGGAGGGCACAGACTCCAAGGGTCACACACACACTGATTTTTTGTGCTCCACACTAACCTACTGCCTAAGAAAACAAACAGGGTGGAACAGGAGGGAGGAATGAGGAAATTCTCTCCAAGGCTCATTTCTCTCTCTCTCAGTGCTGTTACCCCAGGTCAGAGGAGCCACAGCCCCCATTTCACAACCCCTCACATTTTTAAGGAAAACAGCAGGACTTGGAGCTGCACACAAGGCTTCTCTTTCCTTAAGCCATCACCCTGGAGCAGGAATGAGCTCAGGCAGGCTCTGCTCTCACAGCTTTGTGTCCCATCCCTGCAGTGTCACCTCGGCAGCTCTGCACACCGGGCTGGTTCAGGGAGAGCTGCAGCAGGAGCAGGATCTGACGACACAAACTGTCAGCACCAGGACTTGCTTTCACCCTCCACCAACATTTAACCAGTGCTGCCACACCTCACACATACAAGGAAGCCACACTCACCACCCCAGGGCACAGGGAAGGGGAGGGCAGGTAGGATATGCCAGGTACAGGGCAGGTAAATGAGCTGGAGATTTGCCAAACCCAGAGCAGTTTTCTCAAGCGGGTCTCAGCCACAACATCCCTACCATTCCACATAACCTCCACCACAGCTTCCCAATCTACTGTTTCTGCTGTGTTCATCCAGAATCCTGCAACTTCCCAGCAAAACAGAGTTTTCCCTGCGGCAAATACCCAAGGAAGTTACAGCTGGACAAGCAGAAACAGGACAGGCTATGGGAAGGACCTGCCGAGCTCCCAGAAAGCACTTTAGAAATCAGCTTGGTCTGAAACACGGTGTGCAAACAAAGCTTCCTAAAGTCACATCCCAAGGGAATGAAGCCCCTTTCCAAATCAAAAGTGTTCACAAGGGAGCCCTAAATTAAATCAACGCCCATTACAGCAGGAACTCTTCCCTTCAGGACAGTGCCTCATCTTCCCCATGCCAGTTCTGAAAACACCTGCAATAGAACTAATTCCACTGGCTCTGCCCAAAAGGACCAGAGCCTTAAAACCCACCTCCCCAGTGTCCTTTACACCAGTTATTTGTCCCACAGAGAGGGTGGTGCTGCAGTGGCCAGCACAGTGGCACGAGCCCACCAGCCCTGCCAACAGGACAGGCTCCTGCATGGAACCCTCCCCACTCCCCTCAGCACAGAGGGAGTGATTCCTACCCAGGGTCTCCCCACCAACACTTCTGGGAGCAAGAACAGGGTCAGGAAGTCCCTCTGTCCTTCTGCAGGTGTGAGAAAGACCTGGTAATACCTGCTAAGAGTTAAAATGAAAGTTTCCGAGAGAAAGCCAAGGGAAAAAGATTCAAACCAGCAAGATGGAAAGGCAGAGCTCTCTTGCCTGCACACCAGGCTCGGCTCAGCGCCGTGGGACACGAAGGAATGCTGCAGACAAAGCGCAAGAGTAATGGAAAAGGCAACCCAGAGTCCCCAGTGCTCTACTTACAGGCTGTCTGAGCTCCACTGGCTCCCAGCTCGTGGTCCCCAGCCCAGTCAGTGCCTTTATTTTTGTAGCAGTGCTGTAAATGGAGTGGGAGGGAAGCAGAGCCTGCAGACACTGCAGCTCTGTTCACCAGCTCTGCCCTGGGCTCCTCTGAATGCTCGGGCCACTCATCAGGAGACCGAAGCACTGCTTTGAGTTCATTCAGTTTCCTGGCAAACCCCACCACTTTAACCACTTCCTTTCCAAAGGGGTGGACTTGTGAGTCCTCCAGGATCTCTGGAGCTGCTTAAAGGCACAGCTGAGGGACAGACCAATGTGCCT